ACACTCAACTGAGTCTGTGTGGTCATGCACCTGCCAAACTGAAGTTGAGCCCTGAAAGGTCTTTGTGGTCACGCACCTGCCAAACCGAGGTCGAGCCCGGAAGAGTCTTTGTGGTTACGCGCCTGCCAAACCAAGGTCGAACCTGGAAGGGTCTGCTTGGTCAGACCACTGCCACAGGGAGATCAAGTCTGGAAGGGTCTGTATGATCACCAGTGGTGGGCAGGCTAATCCGCTAATCCACTAGCCACTAATTTGCAAAGCTAACTTAAAGATTTTGTCCCTATTCTCAAGGATGAGTGAGAGATAAATCAGACTAGCTACGTTTGTTCCCATGGACAAAAATTAATTTCTATCTGCAAAACGTAGGTTTTTATAACCACTGAGCCTGTGTAAAAAGGAGAACCAACTGGGGAACTTGACATCGAATATTATATGCATCACAGCCGCTGGTTCAGATTTTTTCTTTTTTGACCGTATATCTAAAAACCAGTTTCTTCTTTCAGTTTGCACATGTTTGGCACCCAACAGTAAGACAAAGTGGGAACAAAGTGGGAAATTCACGCATTATGATTATTCACTTAAGAAAGCATTGGTGTGCCTCCTTGGGTGTGCCCGTGCATACACCCGCACCCCTGCCAGCCAACCAGCACTAATTCTGTGGGAAATACCGGGTATAAATTAACGGTGGGTCTGAGGCTGAAACCACAATACACATGTTCATGATCTCGTATTGCGGTTCCAGGAGACGGAACCGGGATATTCCACTCCCCCAACCCCAATCTGCTGCTGCAGGTGCAGCCTGTCGATCTCTCATTACATTATGAATATTACATTCTATTTAAAGTTGTAAAGTTGGGTTACTTTGTAGATGTTACATATTACTAGGGCTGTAACGGTACACACATCATGTACCATTACTATTTTACTATGTATTTTTGTATTTTCAAATTACAAATTACTTGTATTTTAATTAAATAACTTTGAATTTTATTTTGCTACAATTGATGGGCAAGTATTTGTAATTTAAAGACTTTTTGATGTATTTGCTCCCATCTCTGTGAAGTCAGTTCATCCATTGTTTGTGTGTAAACAATATAAGTAACACGATTTTCTTGCAAATATCATACAAATGAGAACCCCTACAGTTATAATTATTAGTTTAAATCTGGAATATGATTTAGAAATTATAAGACATTAGAACAATAGATGTTACATAAGACTGTTCACATAAATATCAGCCATGGAAAACATTTTAGCGTGTTAGATCAGTTATGATGAAGTTTAAAAAATAACTGAAACAAGAGCCCACATCGATATAAATGCAAATATGTATAAATGTGTCTGGACCATTGCTGTTGAGGTATTTACATTCATTTTAGGAGTTGCATGTTCACATATTTGACTTTTTTGTAGCAGTTTTCATCATTTCTTTGTTAAAGAAAGTAAGCTGTGGGTAATCAATTGTTGTGCTACAAAGTTAAAACTATTGGTAAGAAGGGTACAGACAGTTAAAAGGGCTTCTCTCTCAGTATCCTCTGCTCAGTGATCCATAGCGCTTCTAGTACGAAGAATATTATATAATTTCCTGCCAAATAAGCGCTACAGTGTAGCTCTGCTATGGCATGGCGGTATATTAAAAATTCATACTGTACGGGAAATTAGAACCAGTAAGCTGGATGTACCAATATACCACCCAGTGCTATTCCAAAGACTGCAAAGTGTAGATGGGGGAGTCTGGTGGACTACAGCAGGAAACAGCAGCACTGCTACCCCCCCTGCTACGTCAGTGGGGCTCCAGTGGAGAGGGTGAGACACTTCAAGTACCTTGGGGTTCAGCTCACAGAAGATCTCACCTGGTCCATGCACATATACTATATTGCCAAAAGTATTGGGACACCCCTCCAAATCATTGAACTAAGGTGTTGCAATCTCTTCCATAGCCACAGGTGTATAAAATCAACCACCTAGGCATGCAGTCTGCTTCTACAAACATTTGCGAAAGAATGGTTCGCTCTCAGGAGCTCAGTGAATTCAGTCGTGGTAACGTGATTGGATGCCACCTGTGCAACAAGTCCATTCGTGAAATTTCCTCACTACTAAATATTCCACGGTCAACTGTTAGTGGTATTATAACAAAGTGGAAGCAATTGGGAACAACAGCAACTCAGCCACGAAGTGATAGGCCGCATAAAATCACAAAGCTGCAAAGGGTGGGCCAACTCTATACTAAAGCATATTTATTAAGAATGGGATGTCATTAAAGTTCATGTGTGTGTGTGAAGGCAGGTGCCCCAATACTTTTGGCAATATAGTGTACATGGACAAATTACTAAGGCAAGGCAACAACTTTATCATTTGAGGCAATTAAGGAGGTTTAAGTTTTTTTCTACGATCCTAAAGACCTTCTACAGAGGTGCTATTGAAAGCATCCTGACCATGAGCATCACAGCGTGGTTTGGTAACTACTCCATCCAAGACTGCAAAGCCCTGCGGTGAGTGATCAAAGCAGCAGAGTGCAGCTGCAGATCTTATCTTCCCTCCCTACAGGACATCTACACCAGGCTCTGCAGGACCAAAGCCATCAAACTCATTAAAAACCCTTCCCATCTCATCAAGTGTCTGTTCCGTCTGCTGAACTCAGGCAAATGGTTCCGCAGCCTCATGACTAGAACAGAGAGACTCAGAAGGAGCTTTTTTCCTCAGGTCATCTGGCTCCTCAACCAAGACATGCCTCACTCACTAGAACCCACACTGGACAAGCACAATGCCACTTTAAATCCTAATTACTTGAGTGTTCATATCACTTATTTGCTATTTAGTTCTTAGATTTAATTTTAGATTTAGTTTAGTCTCTGAAATGTGTTTTATCTATTTTATTTAAGCCTAAATTTAAGTCTCTGGAGTGATTCAGGACTACATTTCACTGCAGGAATTGCTTCAACTTCTCTAGTATGGTGGTCAAATCATTGCACTTCCAGTATTGTGATTGCAGGTAGACTAAATATATGTCATTGCCCACACTAACTCCCATGTTTGGCTCCACCCATATTTTGCAAGGAGGGGGCGGGGCCAGGCAAAATGGCACTCTTTGAGGAAAGGGCACATGCTCCAACAAGAGGAGGATATACAGCATACGGACAGTGCAGACTGTGGGATGACCACAGGACCACCTTAAATAAACAGAGCCACACCACTACCCTCTCACAGAAACCACAGGGCAATTGAGAAGTCACTATGGTGATTGGCACCACCTCGCAAAGGTCCAATTCAAGGAGTAGAAGTAAAAAAACTCACACACTTGGCAGGGCGCCAATGCCCGTGACTCCTGTAGGTCCAATGACAAGGAGGTTCCATGAAGAGCCCGTAATCTGCAGACATGCTTCTCTGACACAACAGACAAGTATGGTGCGTGCAACATCCAGAGTGGGAAATGAAGCCCCAGCCATAATCAGCCAATCAGCAGGACAGGGCCCACTCATGAACAAAAAACCAGCAGGACGTAAGACAGCCCATGAACTGTTAATACCCAGGGTCCCCAGCCCTCCCAGCCCCCCACAGCCCCCAAGCCTAGGGGGTCATGATGTGGTTGATGGCCTCCTCAGCTTCCCGCTGCTGGAAGGTCAGGTGGGCACCTTCCAGGTCCAGTACCACGGCCAGCAGCCTGGAGGCCACAGCTTGTCCACGCCGGGCCAGCAGCGTAGCACACGCTGTGTCGTCTGTGGGTAGGGGGGTGTGAGAAGAGGATGGAGACACAGCGGGAGAAGAACATCAGCTTTTCACAACCTTCCCAGCCATCAAGACACCTTGCCTCATCAATGCCGCTCTTGAAGATTAGCAAAGTCATAAGGCTCAGTCTTGAGCTGAAGGCTGGGGAAGAGCGTGAAGAGTCCAGGCCATGGGACAGGAGCCAGCAGCATCACCTGAGGACTGGCTGGAGGTCTGGGGCTTCCTCCCGGCGTCATCATCCGGCAGCTCCAGGTACCGCTCCCTGTCATCACAGTGCACAGCGGCCCATTCAGAGCAGCTCGCAGATGAGCAAAGCATGCTGGGAAAACTGTCTGTGTCTCTACACGCTGAGAAAGCCACTCAAACGGGAAAGACACAGGCAGAAAACTACAATAAATTAATTCCTTTTAAACAAAAGAGAAAAACTCTCCAAACCAAGGCCATCCTTAAATAAAAATGTCTTTAATGACGTATCCTAACTGAAAGGTTAAAAAAGCCACTCTAAGCGGGTTGTGCTGTCTTCAAGGCATAATACAAATGAGCTGAGTAAGAGGCACGTATGCCAGGAGAGGCCAGTCTTATCCGCAAAGAGTCACTGTGAATGTGGGTTTTCGCTGCAGCTCCCTAATTAGATTACTAATATGAGGACTGATGGGCTGAAGACTCACACTGGGCATTGCACAGCTGATCAAAAGGTTACCCCAAAAACCTGCATACACACTGGTCCTTTGCTGATAATATTGGCTACCCCTGGTATATATGCTCACTTGATTGGTCAGGCAAAAGTACAGATGCCTATAATCAAACAACAGCTGCACCAACAATACTAAACCACACCCCCACCCCCCCCCAAAAATCTATCAGGTAGACAAGCATTGAAGCCACCTGTTACTGCATGTGAAGAGACATCTCTCAGGTACAAACCACTCAGAAAACCGCAGAGAGAAAAAATGTCACAGAAATGGTCACTCATCTATTTCCTCATTATGACCTGGGAACTCCATAGCTTCCAATTTCCAGATACAGAAAGTTTCATGCTGAAGCAGCAACTTCAATCATTCACCACCATACAGATTGTTTTACAATTTCAATGCCCTGAATCTTTAAGGATAATGGATTGCTATTGATCACCTCTTTATAGTGCTTAGTCATGGAGCAGTCTTCATTACTGATACGAATCGCATATTTATATTTAGCAGAACGCTCTTTTAATCTCCTTTTAGTCCTACCCACATAAAAGCTCCCACAAGGACACAACAGGCAAGACAATCTATACCCATGGCCAAATCCAGAAAATGTATGTATTTTGGTATAGTCGATTGATAACTTCATATTTGAGCTGATAGTGATGGCGTAGCTATAGAATCCTAGTAATTCATTCATTGCCCAACCAAATCATAAGGATGTCATCAATATAATGCCCCAAACCGGGAGCTTTTCCCAGAAGGGCTTATTTGATTGATTAAAAATGTACTCTTTTCCCCCAATACTCCAAGAAGAAATGTATTGATGACATCTTTATGGTTTAGTCAGGCAATTAATTTAACTGTCCAGTTCGGACATGTCGTTATAATTAATAACGCAAAGACCTTTTAGCTTAGGAAGTATCTTGATTTGCAGAGTTCTTCTCTTTTGCTTTTTGGAATCTTTTCCCTTGATACCAAAGAGTATTGATGGCCAAAACGATGCTTCATGAACCATTTGCTGAATTTTTTGAGCTGACTACATGGTGCTCCTGGTTCACTTTGGGGCGTGCTCTGGAGCCTGAACTGGGGCCTGCTTTGGGGCGTGCTTTGGGGCATGCTCTGGGGCCTGCTTTGGGGCATGTTCTGGGGTGTGCTTTGGGGCCTGCTTTGGGGTGTGTTCTGGGGCATGCTTTGGGGCATGCTCTGGGGCCTGCTTTGGGGCGTGTTCTGGGGCGTGCTTTGGGGCATGCTCTGGGGCCTGTTTTGATGCATGCTCTGGGGCCTGCTTTGGGGCATGCTCTGGGGCCTGCTTTGGGGCGTGCTTTGGGGCGTGCTTTGGGGTGTGCTCTGGGGCGTGCTTTGGGGCCTGTTTTGATGCGTGCTCTGGGGCCTGCTTTGGGCCTGCTTTGGGGCATGCTCTGGGGCCTGCTTTGGGGCGTGCTCTTGGGCCTGCTTTGAACCCTTTTTTTGATCAGAGAGCAAATGGCTCAAGAATTTTGACCATCACTACGAAAGAGCACCCAACTCAAGCAACATTTAGACTTTTCAATATAGAGCTACAACTATCCATCCAAATAAATTCCTTTGATCATAGCCACAGCCACACCCTTAAATTCAAAGTTTCATATCATTACTTTAATGTGACAGCCCGAGTTAAATGCTTTCGCCGAAATTAACGGTCATGAATGACGGCATGCAAGCTTCACGTGTGCATTGATGCTCACCTCTAGTGGTCATATAAAGAATTTCACACTTTCGCTTTTAAGAACAGGATACCTGAGTGCGTCCCTTCCATGAAGAAGGTGCTTGTAGATGGTCTGTGCCTCTGCGTCGGGGTCTAGAGGGTCGCTCCAGTCTCCCAGAGTCACGGCAGAATGTGTTCGGCTGCAGCCGTGAGCTGGGAGAAGCAGGAGAATGTCGGCATACCAGGAGAGGCTGGTGTTTATGCATCGATCTATACGGGCAAGTGCGTCTTTGCCGGTGTCGTGCGGAACCCCCCTCCGCCCCTCCCATTTTCGCGTGCACGCGCATTCTAAGTACCGCGGTGTTTTAGCCGAATTTAATTCACAAAAGGTTTAAAAAGAACGGTTTAAAAAGAACGGTTTAAACTAAAGGCAGGAACCAATCAACAATTGCAGAATCACACACACGGTCACTTTAAGGGGATTCAATTCATTTAAGTTGTATGTTTCGAGACAGTAGAATGAACCCGGAGACTCCGCCAAAAAGCCACGCTCGCCCACACAGGGTGAACACGCAAACACACGAAGTGCAGCGACAGCGACACCCGCTGTGCCACTGTGCCGCCCTCACAAGCTTGTACGATGTGCGATGTTAGTATCTACATGGCATTTCACGCGCATGCAATTGTCACATCGTAAAGACAACAATAGCCTGCTGGGATCGAACCATTATTGTTGCGCTAAAACATTTTTGGTCAAGTCATAGGAAAACAAAATAGCAAGATTTGCAAATATAACGAAGGTTCCTTTCAAAATGTTCTAATAGCCTACGTGTTATAAAAAGTCTACAGTTTACTATAGACTTACAAACGTCATCTGACCTGCAGCATCAACCTACACCTGTTCCCCTGACTGCTACATATTGCCACTCCTTCCCGTTCTCTCAGGTCATCGTCTGCCATTCATCTCATT